TAATCTTATGTGAGTTTTAGTGAGACGACCAGATTAGATCAGTGCATAAAATATTATATAATCCTTTCTTATAAGCAACAGTGGTCAGTTTAGTGATGGTGGTAGTGGGCGAGGCTCTCACACGTGTAGGGGCGAGGCTCTCACACGTGCAAGGGCGAGGCTCTCACGTGCAGGGGCAAGGCTTTCACACGTGTAGGGGCGAGGCTCTTACACGTGCAAGGGCGAGGCTTTCACACGTGCAGGGGCGAGGCTCTTACACGTGCAGGGACGAGGCTCTCACACCTGCAGGGGCGAGGCTATCACACGTGCGGGGGCGAGGCTCTCACACGTGCAGGGACGAGGCTCTCACACGTGGCAGGACGAGGCTCTCCATACGTGCAGGGACGAGGCTCACACACGTGCAGGGACGAGGCTCTCACACGTGCAGGGGACGAGGCTCACACTGCAGGACTCTCATACGTGCAGGACGAGGCTCTCATACGCGAGGCTCTCACACGTGCAGGGACGAGGCTCTCATACGTGCAGGGACAGAGGACGTGCAGGGACCTCTCATACGTGCAGGGACGAGGCTCTCTACACGTGCAGGGACGAGGCTCTCGCACGTGCAGGACGAGGTCACACGTGCAAGGACGAGGCTCTCACACGTGCAGGACGAGGCTCTCATAAGGGACAGGCTCTCACACGTGCAGGGACGCATGGGGACGAGGCTCTCACGTGCAGGGACGAGGCTCTCACGTGCAGGGACGAGGCTCTCACACGTGCAGGACGAGGCTCACGTGCAGGGACAGGCTCACGCAGACCACACGTGCAGGGACGAGGCTCTCACACGTGCAGGGACGAGGCTCACACGTCAACTCACTTCTTCACTCTCATACTATGAGGACACTGTCATACTCTTCCTGACACTGAGGGCACTGTCATACTCTTTCTAACACTATGAGGGCACTGTCATACTCTTCCTGACACTATGAGGGCACTGTCATACTCTTCCTGACACTGAGGGCACTGTCAAACTCTTTCTAACACTGAGGGCACTGTCAAACTCTTTTCTAACACTATGAGGGCACTGTCATACTCTTCCTGACACTGGGGCACTGTCATACTCTTCCTGACACTGGGGCACTGTCATACTCTTCCTGACACTGGGCACTGTCAAAACACTATGAGGGCACTGTCATACTCTTCCTGACACTGAGGGCACTGTCATACTCTTCCTGACACTGAGGGCACTGTCATACTCTTTCTAACACTGAGGGCACTGTCATATTCTTTCTAACACTGAGGGCACTGTCATATTCTTTTCTAACACTGAGGGCACTGTCATACTCTTTCTAACACTGAGGCACTCATATTCTTTCTAACACTGAGGGCACTGTCATTTCTTTCTAACACTGAGGGCACATTTTCTAACACTGAGGGCACTGTCATACTCTTCCTAACACTGAGGGCACTGTCATACTCTTTCTAACACTGAGGGCACTGTCATACTCTTCCTGACACTGAGGGCACTGTCAAACTCTTTCTAACACTGAGGGCACTGTCATACTCTTTCTAACACTGAGGGCACTGTCATACTCTTTCTAACACTGAGGGCACTGTCATACTCTTTCTAACACTGAGGGCACTGTCATACTCTTTCTAACACTGAGGGCACTGTCATACTCTTTCTAACACTGAGGGCACTGTCATACTCTTCCTGACACTATGAGGGCACTGTCATACTCTTCCTGACACTATGAGGGCACTGTCATACTCTTTTTAACACTGAGGGCACTGTCAGTGTCAGTGTCATGATCTGTTTGAGTCCAGGTGTGGTTGAGGCACCTCTAGTAACACAAACGTTCATACACCGGGATTTAAACCAACCAATCACAAGAGGTTCCAGATCTAGGCGTCCCTAAAGTAGTGAAGTAACGAAGGTAGTGCTGTAGCGGCGGCCATATTATGTACTTATTATCCTAATAACGTGTCTCTACCCAAATTTTGAAACATTTTATGAGGGTGGGAGATAAGAGCGCATAGTTTCTCAGTGACGTACAATCACGAGGATCGATGACGTACTTCTCCTCGCTGCTTATTGGTTGCGAGACACCTCAGCTGACACCCCCTTAAGCGAGTCACTTCCATCCTCAAAGCCGGAGTTTGTCAGCTTCGTCTCGGGTAGTCTCCATCCATACTTAGTGGCGATATGACTGTTCAACTTAACTGCGCATAAATCTTGAACTAAGCAACGCAAACTACCCGCCAAGTTGTCCCTCTTTAGTGAGTGTGCAGTGGATTTCTTTTCGTTAGTATCTGTAGTTAGGAATAGCGTTATTTTTTTTATTCTTTAAGCACCTTGTTCTAAACATACAGTATCTTAGCTATAGACAGAAACATTTGAAAGATTTTAAGTTGGCATGGGCATTTGCCTTCTTTACACACAAACACACGCGGACATATACACTCATGCATTCATACACACACACCCACAAACACACACATACCTCCCCCCCCACACACACACAGGTGCCACAATCAACAGTATCGGGGCTCAGTGTGAATCTCTGATAGACATTAGGTTTTTATCAGTGTTCAGTTCAGCTGCGCAACCTACAGTACAGTAGATCCACGCTCATATCTCTCTCAAAGGTGATGTAATAACAGAAACGGTAATTTATGAAGTCATGTCACGTCACGGATTCAAAGTTGACACCATACCTATTTTTTAACATAAATACACACATACATACATACATTATTATTATCATCATCATCACGTGAAGAGTTGGAATACTGAGAAGGCCGTGGAGGGGGTTACGTAAATCAGAAACATAACTTGTACTCGTAAATACTGGTTATATCCGGGAGATTTATGGGGAAGTATTATATTATATTTTGTAAATAATATTGTTTTGTGCATCATTGTTTATATAAATTAGATTTTTTGTGTAATTTTGTATCTGGTTTATAAGTGAATGTGTATTTTGTTTAAGTAAGATTATTGGTGTATATATTTTAAGTAATTAAGTGAGTCAATATTTCGTATATATCTGTATAAGTAAGTCAGTGTGTGCTCATATGAAGTAAGTCAAAAGGGATGTGATAAATTTGTCCATTGTTTTATGACCACTTGTGTAATGTGTGTGTGGGGGGGGTAGCTCTTAACACTGTGTTGTGGTGTGTTTTAACCTCATGACACATATGTAGTATAATGTCTCATCCTTGTAATACAGTTTATTATTATTACGCCTCCTCCTCCTACTATTATTATTATTATACGCATTACGTGACTAATTATTAATGTATGTGTTTTTAAGTAGTAGTATTAACATTAACTTAAATAGTGCGTACGAGCATGACTGGTTGAATTCCTATATATTAATTTAATTCTTAAACTCTATAAAAAAAAGGGATAAGATAAGAGGGCTATTATCTTTGAGTTAGTTGGTGATAACATTTGTGAACTGACTTGCTTATCTGGCCAAGGAAAATTGATAACATAATTACTGGTATATACCGTAGTCACTTTGAAACTGGGGTCACACTCTCTCTCTCTCTCTCTCTCTCTCTCTCTCTCTCTCTCTCTCTCTCTCTCTCTCTCACTCACCTCCCTACCCTCATCTATCCTCTACATTCTACAGGGAGTGAGGTGAGGATGGTCACAATGCTATCTCTACGAAAACTGTACCTTATCTTATCTCTCTCTCTCTCTCTCTCTCTCTCTCTCTCATACACACACACACACACACACTAACTAAGCTTATTCTATCTATCTAGGCACACTTAAGCGATCATAACTTTACACAGTCGGTCACTTAGTTCCGAGACATACCAGCTTAAGCCTCGGCCGTGTCTTGGCTGCCGGTGCATCAGCTTACTTACCTCACGGCACTACACTGAATGCGTCTACAAAGGGGTTACGTTACCGATACCATGATTTAATCCCGTGTTCTGAATCTTATCACAAGTACCTATACCACAGTCACCTACCACAAGTACCCACCACCGTCATCTACCAGTTTCCTATTATCAATAACTATCTCATTCGTCAACCACAATTATGGAAAAGAATTCTGCTTTTATTCTTACTATTATTAATCCTATTACTCTTATTACGTTTGTTATTACTATTATTACTCATTATTATTATTATTATTATTTATTTTTATATATTATGCTAAATCAAGTAAACTTATAATTATGGCGATTTTACTGAATATTTATCTTGGATAATTTCACCCTGACACTGTAGGTCTAAAGAATGCGATGCCTCTAGAATTGTGTTGCACTCTTAGTTTCAGCTGTCTTGAGGGTGATAAATTCCAGGATATAAGTAGGATATAAATTCCAGGATGTAAGTAGGATAATTCATTAAGACTGAAATTTTTTGTTATCTCGAGGAGTCTTGCATAACTATCGCTAGTCTGTTTCATTGGTGTTTACGTCATTAAATAGTTGAAGAATACAGTAGAAGACGTGTGACTTCTTCGTTCCTTGGTGATACATTATATATATATATCACTTAGGTCTTACATCACAGGTTCCTAGAATTTAAATGGCACGCGGGATGATACCCCAGTGACTCACGCAGGCGCTCTCCTTCAGTATTATCGACCGCTTCCTAAAATCGTCTCAAAAGCTCTTCTCAACTACCTACGTTACGAATTACTAGGCGATGCTTTTCAAATGAACTTATGTTTCTTAAACATTAGTTAATTTATTGAAAAAAGATGTAATAACCGGCGCGAATTCTTGTAATAATTAACTTTCTGGCGGCAGATGGCATCTCTACCGGCGTAGCGTTGTCAAAATAAGGTTTATTTGGATTATTTTGTTCTTGTGGATGGTATTGGGAAGTTTTTCATAGTCAGTACTCGCTAACAATTGTTGCTGTAATAGTGTATGATGATAAAATTATTTGGAAATGTACATATTGTGTATGACAAAAGGCAACATGGCAGCTTAGGTGTTGTCAGTGAGGGGCAGGGAAGGGAGGCAAGCCAGCCCGGCCATCAGCTAAACCTCGCCTCAGTAACGCCGTGGCCAGCAGTGTGGGGAGGTGTTGAATCTCTCCCTGTCAGCTTATATGACTAGTGTCGTCTCATTAAAGTACAAGGCGGTGCAGGCAATTAGCGTAACTGACAGTGATTCACGTTGCATCTCAAACCTCCACGTAACGAGGAAACAACAGTGAGAGAACAAGGAAAGAGGTAACATTGGTGGCATTAAAAACAAGTGACTCTTAAGTTGCGCGTGGTGAAGTGAGGATGCAGAAGGTGGAAGGAGGAAATTGTTAGCAGCAGCAGCAGTGTATATCTTCCTACCGAGCATGGTTGTGGTGTTGGGAGCCTAAGTTAACCATGTGTGTGTCGTTGTTGGAGGAGGAGGAGTGGAACACTGTCGTCGTCTGCCTGGCCGTGGAGAGGTGAGCAGTGTGGGAGAGGATTTGACATAGTAGTGTGTTTCCGGGGATACCTGCGTCAAGGGTGTTTCAATACACTTCAAAAAAAAATCCTTTGTAGCATGGCGCAATGATCGCAATCCTGTATTATGAACCAGTTGTATTGTTTGAACTATTCATGTCTTCTACTGCCACAAGACCATTATATTACTTGTGTCGTTTTGTTGTGTTGACAAATATATTAGTGTAGTAATCTAAAAAAAAAAAGACTCCGTTTCAGCGGGAAATATTCGCATAAAAATAATTACCAACGGATAATTATTGTTTGAGTATTCTATTTGTACAGTATATTGTTTGTGTCCTCCCAATGTTGTCGGGGAAGAAATAGCAGTTAATTCACCAGAAACTAAGTTAGGAAACTTTTCAGGTATTTCCTTTTCAACTAAGAACGTTCATTTGTATTGACTATTAACTATACAAATTAAAACAATAATAATTTACTAAAGTCAGTTTCTGGTTCTCTGCATTGCCAATTGTGACGACCACTCATATCTGGTGAAGTAGTAACATTTGGTTAGTATTCATTACATCAGGTAAATTTTTCTCCGTATTATAGGATGAGCTCTAGATTCACAGATTACTGGATAAATAATGACCACATAATTGACTAGTGACGATAAAGATAATCAAAATTACACCGATTTGGCTAAACTACTTACGTTCTTCCAACATCAGATAAAATGTAGATACAGTTTTTACAAAATATTTGGTGTGTTCATTTTGTCTACTGTTTTAGTGTAAGTGAAGGTATCTAATTGTAACGCAGTAATTTGTAAGTTATTTTTGGGGCGTTGATGTGTGGGTTAGAACAAGTACTGTGCTTCGGTTCCAGATAGGGGTTAAAATCACCGTGCGAACGTTCGAGAAATTCATCATAGGGTTTATAATTTCTTACCAGGTAGTGAACATGGTCATAATTATACCAACGTGATTTACTTCCTAACGTGACTAGTTCGTATCATATGTGCCCATGGGAACTCTTACCACCAGTCTGCTTTATAACCCGGGCTCAGATTTGTGATTGGTCCGCAGTTTCAGATTTTGGTCACCAGGGATTGGAGGGTTGGAGGCAGGGCACTTATCACTCACACTGCCTTTACCTACAGTAGTTGTTCCTATGGGGGGTTACTGAATCACAGGCCATAAGTATTAATACTCTACTTTGGAAGATATTGTTATATTTAGTGGACGTGTAATTTTGGATATTCTTAGTCGTTACGGTAACGAGAGGAAAAATTAGGACAGATTTAGTCGTTGGCAGCAAACAGCGCGAACAAGCTGTATGGAAGTTTACATAATGTGACTCAGTGATGCTGTTTGAGTTTAGATATTGACAACAGATAACACATACTGTACATACTCTGGATGTTTGTATGTTCGGCCCCAAACTCCAAGAGGACATGACACATCCAGAACTTGGCAATGCATAGGCCTACTCCAATATTTTCAGCACATGACTGTATCCTTCACATTGTCTGCTTTGACGTCGGTACACGTGTAGGGGGAAGTGGTCAAGAATACATAATTTACCACCGTTATGTTTTCTTTGTAATTCCATCAGCCCTTAGTCACAGCGGATGTGGTGAAGAAAACAGTTAGGTACAGAAACGGATGGCGTATAAATGTACACGACCAAGTTCATGATGTTTTATTTCTCTCAATGGACTGACTGTCAACACAAAGGTCAAGAAACTTTGTAAACACTGTGGGTAAATAATAACCTTGGTAAATTCACAATCAGTCGGTTACATCACTAGACTGGATTGCAAGAGTCGAATGTCATCTGCCAACGTAAGAATGATGTCAATGTCCATAGTTTACGGAAGTCACCATTAGAGTTTTTTCGGCGATTTTTGTTCAGAAGCTTTTTTTTTTTTTTTTTTTTATAAATGTAAAACCTTCTGGTGTGTTTAAGCACTTGTTTCCCTTTCACTCGTTACCTGTCACTCCACACCTCAGACCTTTGGAACCTCGGATAAGGAAGAGCCCTGAAATAAGACATTGCCGAAATAGTTTGACATATTAACTTACTTTGATTAAGATCGACAAATAGCATACAGCTTTTCGAATTTAACAGACGAAGTGTTTTATTGTTTTGGAAACCGGTGTCTTTTTAATTAAACGGAATTTGATAAGTTTCCTTTTATAAATTTGAATTTATTTGGTGTATCCTTCGTGCCTGTGGCTGGTAATTGTTATTGGTTCAAGAGACTGTTAAGTTAAGAATAAATCGGGTCATTTTATCAACTTACATGGATCATGTTCTTAAATACGATATATAGATCGGTTACCCAAGTACAGTACATAGACCACGTACACAGTTTACAGGCCAGTTATCAAGATGCGTTATCAGTTGCTTGAACATGCAAACTAGACTGTTGTAGATAGAACCACAGCAAGCACACTTAAGTTTATTTCTCGCTCTCCAAGATCATATACTTAGTGAAACAGCAAACTACACACATTGCAATGTACAGGATATATACTGTACCATGACTTTGTGGAAGCAGTGTGTGTTAACTGTGAGAGTAATTAGAATCCAGGGATGTGAGGTTATTATAGGAAGGCCTCATACTTTGTGAATCTTGTTAATTGGGTTAAGTTATGAAGCTGGCGAGAGAAGACTACGAATGTGAAAATTGCCAAGTATAATCATTTGTCGTTTTGGCCAATTGGTTGTTAGATTAGTTTTGTGTGTTACAACGATATGCACGAAATTAAGCTATTTATGTGAATGTAAATAAAGAAGTAAATTTACAACCTAACCACGTAAACAGCTTCGTTCTACCCTGACAAAACCTACCCGAGGTCACGTTAGATTATGTCAGTTCGTCAGGGTTAAGAACGATAAAATACTGACTGACTAACGTGTCTTGTAGTCGGACATTCACATTACGGTCGGTTTTGGCAACTTTTCTCTATCACTCCCTAACATAAATATACAGGAAGTAGAAAAAAAAGAATGACTAAATGACACTGACCTTGATGCGAAAACTAGGCTTGTTAGAGAGATACTGTTGATGTGGGTTTGGATATTAAATGGGCAGACCAGGGTCCTAAAACTCATTGAGACACCCACTAAACTGTGTTGGACTTGTCGTGTGGAGTTGATTGTTATTGTGGAACTGTGGAAACTCGACTGATGACGTGGCGGTTATTTTGCGGTTGTTGAGTACGGATTCACAAAGGCTGGTATTAGTATATGCGGTGAAAATGCCTCTTAGGTTGATGACTTAAAAGACACCCTTATTCCCCCTATTGGCCTGCCTGTCTTGTTTTATAGTATCGAAGCCTGTAGTGTATCATGTATGTCCAGGAAAGGCATATGAGCTGTCCACGTTGAACTAAATAGGAAATGAATTACTTTGGGTTAAGTTAGTTTACATGTATTATTCTCAGGGTGTTTATATATTACATTGTGAGGCCGGATACCAAAACACACACACACACACACAGTGGATATGTAAATAACACCCTAAAAGACTATTTATGTTTGCCCCTGAGGAGTATGTCATATCCTGAGCTGTGACCAACATATGAACACCTACATAACATTAGTCTCTCTTTTAACAGCAGATGGGTAGGTAAAATACATAATCTAATTTAACTTAACCTTACCTTGGGTCAAATTAGGGATATATATATATATATATATACGACTTTTGGGCTACTGATGATTTTGTTGATTTTGTAATTTTTTTTTGTACTTTTTTATTCGTCTTGGCCTTTTCGCCGTCCTAAGATATGTTCGTCAGTTCTTAAGTTGATACCTGTATATTGCCAGAGAGAGAGAGAGAGAGAGACCGACCTGAACCATCTTTAACCGTGACTTGCTCGTAGCCTAATATACATTGACCAAACTTAACCTAATGACCCATCCCTGAGTTAAGTGACCTCACCTCAGCGAACGACCTCACTTAACCTGACCTAAGCTAATGACTTTATAATTAATACTTTAAGCCTAAATTACCGACCTGACCTAACTGATTGACTTAACCGCACTAAACCTTAACGATTTTAACTAAGCTACCGTAATGACGAAGAGGATACGATACAAGGCAAAGACCATGTTTAAGTACACACACACACACACACACACGGGTAATTAGGGTATAAACGATGCATAAAATAGTGATATATAAGTGGTAAGGACTAGAGATCGACACATTGAGGGAACGTTGTGTGTGTGTGTCCCCCCCGTCAGCACGAGGTTAGGCGCACACGTTGGCGTCGTTCTTGCCGATTACCCCTTCACTCCCCCCTCACTCCCGGCTCTGGTTTACTGTGTCTAGACATGCATGGGTGGAGGGGGGAACACCATCTTTTTTTATTGGCAGACATATAAAGCACGGAACTGTGTCTGGTGACTGCAGAGAGTAGGGGGGGGGTGTCGCTATGTTCGCATGGTAACGTAACACATTCCAGTCTGTCTACTTCCCATTTGGTTAGATAAGGTAAAAAATAAGGCACCCAGGTCAGGTTAGGTCAGGTCATTAACTAACTAACCTAGGGATGAATCCTTGTACAATACGGCTGGTTTTGGCTGCCCTTAATTTTGTTTTTTATGGCTGTTAGACTTTTCTCTGGTTTTTATGTGTGTGTGTGTGTGTGTGTGTTTATATTTACATACATCAATATATTCACTCAATATTTATTTATGTGTACAAACCTGCATAACCTTACCGGTTTTTTTTTTGGGGGGGGGGGATTAGTCCACCCGGGCACAGGTCGAACTTAGATAAGAAAAGGGTTATACTGTGTTAATCTACACCACGAAGATGCCGGAAAACCAACTTTTTAAAGCGAGACATTTTATAAGTATGGAAACACAGAAGGCAGAGCATTCCACCGTTTGGCTGTGTGAGGAAAGAAGGATTTACTATAACGGGTTATTCTAGTGTGACCGACAGCCACAGAGAAACGGTGGGCACCGCGGGCAAGACGTGTGTTACGAGCCCACGGCC